GGTGCAGTGCCACGGGGTGCAATGCCATGGAGGGCTCTCCCGTGGGGCGCAGTGCCATGAGGACACATGCCATGGAGGGCAATGCCATGGGGACACATGTCATGGAGGGCTCTCCCATGGGGCGCAGTGCCACAGGGACATGTACCATGGGGGGCTCTGCCATGGGACATGGTGCTATGGGGACACGTGCCATGGAGGGGTCTCCCATGGGGTGCAATCCCATGGGGACACGTGCCATGGAGGGCTCTCCCATGGGGTACAATGCCATGGGGACACATGTCATGGAGGGGTCTCCCATGGGGTGCAATGCCATGGGGACACGTGCCATGGAGGGCTCTCCCATGGGGTACAATGCCATGGGGACACATGTCATGGAGGGCTCTCCCGTGGGGTGCAATGCCATGGGGACACATGTCATGGAGGGCTCTCCCATGGGGCGCAGTGCCACAGGGACATGTACCATTGGGGGTTCTGCCGTGGGACATGGTGCTATGGGGACACGTGCCATGGAGGGCTCTCCCATGGGGTGCAATCCCATGGGGACACATGTCATGGAGAGCTCTCCCATGGGGCGCAGTGCCACAGGGACATGTACCATGGGGGGCTCTGCCATGGGACATGGTGCTATGGGGACACGTGCCATGGAGGGGTCTCCCATGGGGTGCAATCCCATGGGGACACGTGCCATGGAGGGCTCTCCCATGGGGTACAATGCCATGGGGACACATGTCATGGAGGGGTCTCCCATGGGGTGCAATGCCATGGGGACACGTGCCATGGAGGGCTCTCCCATGGGGTACAATGCCATGGGGACACATGTCATGGAGGGCTCTCCCGTGGGGTGCAATGCCATGGGGACACATGTCATGGAGAGCTCTCCCATGGGGCGCAGTGCCACAGGGACATGTACCATTGGGGGTTCTGCCGTGGGACACGGTGCTATGGCGACACGTGTCATGGAGGGGTCTCCCATGGGATACAATGCCATGGCGACACGTGTCATGGAGGGCTCTGCCACAGGACATGGTGCTATGGGGCCATGTGCCATGAAGGTCTCTCCCATGGGGTGCAATCCCATGGGGACACATGCCGTGGAGGTTTTCTACCATGGGACGTGGTGCCATGGGGCACAGTGCCACGGGGCCACGTGCCACAGCACCGCATCCAGGGATGGACCTGCCCTGGGGTGGCGCGGTGGCTGAGGGACCCCCACGCCTGACGGGGTCCACGTGCCCATGTGCGCCCTTGTGTGTGGGCAGAGCTGCTGGACGCCTTCAAGGAGTTTGACACAGACCAGGACGGGTACATCAGCTACAAGGACCTGGGCGCCTGCATGCGCACCCTGGGGTACATGCCCACCGAGATGGAGCT